AGGACTATGGGCTCCTCAGAGGCTAATGTTGGATGATTGGTAGCTTCTGGCAAGGGGAAAGGCTGGCAAAGACAAAATACCAAGCATAAATTCAAAGTAAAAAGACATTAAGAAAATCTTACAATTGCTTAAGAAAAGAGAACTTACGGAGGTACTATCACCTTCTACAAAGTGAAGCATCTCTACAGTTGTTAGATTAAATTGGGAGGTGGGGGTCATTACCAGTGTTGGAGGAATGGAAGAAGAAGAAGGAGTTGGTGCCCGACTGAAGGCTCAACCTGAGGAGAAAAAAGGCACACAGGTCGGGTTGGAGGTAAAGAGGACTCGGTTTAGGAAGTCATTTCTGCTTTGGAAGCCTGTTTTGGAAAACAACAGAACTAGTTGAGTACAAAAGATGAATTTTAGAAGTAATTAAGTACTAAAAGTTCAAGAAAACTACCTTCAACTCCTCTAAGATCTTATAAATAACCTCATTATCACTTTGCTGCCCCTTCACACCTACATTCATCTCCTTGGGGGTAGAATCAAGCTTCTTGCTAATAGCAGGTCCTAATCACAAAAGAGAACATGATCAGTTCAAAACTTAAGGAGATGAAATTAAATAAAGGAAAATCAAGTTTGAATCACTTATTGGCAGACTTCTGTTTTTTCATGTCCACTTTAATTAGGAGGGCAAAAGGGGACTTAGAGACTTGAGAGGTCTGAGACCTGGTTATTTTCTTAGTTCGAGTGGCTCTTGGAGCTGGGGGATCAGGTCTAGCCTGGGACCTCCCTTCGGGATTAGAATCAGAAGATTCTACAACAGCATACATTACTCAACGAGGAGCCCTAGTCTCTACTTCGGGCTCAGCTTTTGTCTCTGACTCACTGAACATCTCAGAGATGTTCCCAGCATCTTCAGGAACATGGCTAAAACCAGTTTCTTACCTAGCTACCTCTGCAGCAACTTTTTGAAGAACAAAGGCATCAGTAACTTCTTCTTCTTCTTCTATCTCGACACCTACTTCATTAAAGTTACCTTGGGCTGTAAGATCAAGGAGAGAGTTAGCAATCACAAACCATGAAAATATGAAGTAAAGGAAAGAGGCAACAATGTAGATTACCTATCAGTAGAAGTTGGTTTTTCTGATTGATGACCTCCTTCCAGCTTTCAAACTCTTCTTTCTTGGAAAGTGACTTGAAAAAAACTTGCCCGAAGATCTTATCATGGGTTTCTCTGACATCTTCATCGTATTTCCTAAACCATTTAGCCTCTCACCAAGTGGTGAACAGAGGTGTGCACTCAAAATTAAGGGTCGTACGCTTATGAGCTATCTTGGTTATTACTCCAAGCTACACCTGCTCACCCGAATCATAGCCTCTGAAGAAGAACGAATGCGATAGAAGGTTACACACTAAACTAAATCAAAGAAGAGGACTAAGATTGCATGTCTAAACCCCAATTGTCTACCATAGAAGTTGGGGTGGTAAACCTCCAGGCCGCGTTCATAACCTGTTTGGTTACTCCTTACTCCCCATACAAAATCCCTTTGCTGGATCCAGTTAATGAATTTCTCCTCGCAGAAGCTGTTGACATTCTCCCCAAAGGAATCCTGGAAGAGGTTGTCCAAAATCCAAGGGTACCTCCTAAGCATTGAGGCACCCCACTCAAGATCAGCCTTAATCCTACAGATTTTGAAGAAATAAAAGCAGGTTAAGGTAGAGTGGTTAGTGGTGGAGGCCTTTGCCAAAATTCGAGTGAGCTACTTCCTCTGGAAACACCAAGTTTGAAGCCCGCAATTTTGGGAAGTACCATTGAAGCCAGAGCTACACCATTTATGTAGCTCCATTGACGTTGGTCTCAAAGGGCTGGTCATTTGTCATCTCAAAAAGCAAATGATAGATATGTGCTAAAATGAAGGGGCTAGTGGCAACATTGTCAAAGGAATGCAGCGCCTCCACTAAAGGGATCCATTCCAGCCTCACTCATTTGGATTTGTTGGGGAACACATGTTTATTCAACCAATATAGGAGAAAGTACATATGCTCCTGAGCTGGGTCAACAGTGGGGGAAGGCAGGTTGAACATTTAATTGGCAAAAGGGATGAAACACGCGCCCATAACTTTTAAAGGTGGTCGAGTTACACTTCAAGCTGGTGATAGACTGAGAAACCTCTGAGCCTTCAGCAACATGATGTGATGGTGATGATCAATCATGTGTAATGTCCACACACCTGCCTCATGACCTTAAACTAAAGACCTAAGCCATGTCCAGGATGGTGGGAGACACAGGACCCACTCTGAAATCAAAAGTACTAGTCCCTGTGTTCTAGAAAATGAGAGCTGTTGAGAGAAGCTCGTGCTTGATGAAGATAATAGTCTTGGACATCTTGATAAGCTCATAAATGTCATTTGCCATCCATTTCTTCCTCTAGATAGGCTCTAATTTGTCCACCCACTTGGACCAGGCTTTATCCTTTATTGAGGGGAAACCCTTATTGAAGTGAACCACTTTGAAGCAGAAATTCCTACTTCAGCGGTGTAAGGATTGGGAGTGAACCAGTTAGCAGCGGGCATGTTGCTTTCCACAGAAACAAGAACTTTGGTAGTCTAGACGGGCCCCAATGAATGCACTCCCCCTTCCTTGAAGAAAATGGGCAGATTAAGGCCAGGCCAAGGACGATGAAAGCTGTTGAGTTTACGATAAAGAGAAAATCCCTTCTCCAGACTCGTACGTAGGGCACGATTTGGGAGCCATTGTTGAATTCAATAAAAAAGAGTGAAAAAAGTGGCTAGAAATCGAGGCAAGAAATGGCTGAAAATTCAAGAGAGTTTGATAGTTTAGAGAATCAAGTTTGTTGAGGGAAGTGGCCAAAAAGAGTGAAATTGAAGTTATTTAACGAGTAGGTAAGTAATGTTGCAAATCGTGGGTTAGTGCAAACGTTTATTTAAAACGGCTAATTAAGAGGTGCTAATACCTAGTTTTGGCATGCAATTGATTTTAATCATTATCAATATCATGATTAGCAGACTTAACAATGATTAAAGGAGAACCGTTTGTGTGGATATTTAATGTTAGGCTTAGTGCGATTGAAGGCCCAAGAACGCAAAAAGTAGCAAGAAGATTGGGCTCGAACAGTTGGCAGCCCAAGAAGAATTGAAAATCATTTTTGCCAAGAAATAGGCAACAAGCCTATGTGAGAAGTGAGAAGTGATAGAGGGCAACTCACCTTAAGCAAATAGTACTTTTCCAGGAGGACCCATATGTAACAATCCAACTAAGAAGTCTAAAAATCTTGTGGCGCAAGTAATCAATCCATTTAATAACCAAAAAAGAACAATTCGTTATAAAAAGAAAACGATGACACGCTCATACCCATATTAGTTTTGATTGAAAGCCTCAACAAAGGCTCCATAAAGGCACTATTCAAAGTAATAACAAACTCATATTGCAGTACACCAAGCAGCAAATCTTGCCCGACAGGCAAGACCCAGGGGAGTTGTGTAAGGGACAAATCTAGCCCGAACAATTAGTTCTGCCATTCTCCCTTCTGGAATGGTCCTTCAAGTGTTCCAAGCCATCCGCCAAGTCCACCATCCAGCTATTGCCGAACTATTTCTTGTTTCAGGCGGCCACTTCTTGCTGGGATACTAGCTATATCCATGGATGAATCCTTGTGAGCCATATTACCTTTTTCTTGGTCCCTTGTGTCACGCTTGCTTCCACGTGGCCTCCTTCTATTGGGTGCATCAGGTTGGAAAGATATACATATCAACAATACTCTTCCAATTATGGCAAACTAGCATGGATGACAATTTTCCCCATGAATTTCAATCTCTGTAAGGCTTTGTCCCTAATGAGTCGGGTATGAAGGAAATTTTCAAATATAGTGTTCGGTTGGGTGATTTTAACCGTTGATCCAACCCCACCTTGTTTGGAATATATGTTATAAAATAAATAAAAAATGTAGTTTGCTTCCAACTCTTTCACGAAAAATAATTTTGCGATTTGATTAAGAAAGCACTTTAGATGATCGAGTTCGCTATTCATAATTATTATTTTAATTTTATGAATAGTCCAGATTTTTCAAGTTGAATATTTTATCTAAACACTACATATTAATAGAACTCTGGTTGTCAACTAAAACTCCACAAAACCATCAGTCTAACCCTCTGATTAAAATTGACTAAAAATAAAAATTATGAGCAATTTAGGAATCACAAGAATGCAAATTTTGCTGTTTTTTTTTATAAAGCATCACCTACATATGATTTTAACATCTCTAATATATATATTAAAAAAAAAAAAAAAAAACTCTCGTCCCATTCTCACACTCTCTCTCTCTTCTTCTCTCCTCTTCTCTCTCTTCATTTAAAAAAAATATATATTCACACACACTTTGTGAGTGGGCATATACTGATTCTAATTATAATTTTTTATAGCATATGCCCACACACAAAGCATATGGAGGAAAAATACATACAAAGATAACGATAGTAATCATAGAACCATTGACATCCCTACTCCTAAACCCAACTCCTCAATTCAAACTCACTGTGCGAATTACAGATTAGTATACATGTCATTAGACCAGTTCGGTCTGATATGTTTTACATCCTTAAACCATCTCCAACCAAAGGGTCCTGAGAGCCAGAGGGCCAAAAATAGCCCAAAAATTGTCTCCAACCGAGGGCCAGGCCAAAACCATAGTAATTCAATTAAAATAATAAATTATGTTTGACCCTTTGACCCTTGGTTGGAGATGGTTTTTTGTGACAGGAATATGCTTGCCCTGGCTCTCGGTTGGAGATGGTAAGAAATATGGTCATGCACTGTTAATTAAAATATTAATTTATTAGAGGGTCAGATGGCTAAAACGAGTCATCTGGCCCTCCTTCGGTTAGAAATGGTTTTAAAGCCCCTGAAGAATGACCCAACTAGATGACTTTGGGCCGTACTTGATGTTCATGTAAAAGCCCATTAGCAGCAAAACTGATAACAAAAGCCAACCCAATTTCCGAACCAAACTCAAGATTAAAGAGGATCGAACGGTCCACAGCATCCTACAAAGACCATAAGAAAAACCCTAATCCTCCTTTACCATTTTCTCTTCTCTTCAAAGCTCCGCCTCCTCGGAAGTCCTCACACATCACACACTTCACCAGAACCAAATATGGTGAGCTCTCCCCTCTCATCCGTGGCGTTTTCCTCCTCTATATTCTCTCTCAATGCGACTTTGTTTCGTTTTATTTTTTGATCTCATTTTTAATTTTTGATCTCACTCTGTTTTGTTTGTGTTTTTTTGGACAGCCTTTCAAGAGGTACGTCGAGATCGGAAGGGTGGCTCTCGTCAACTACGGCGAGGACTATGGGAAGCTCGTCGTCATCGTCGACGTCCTTGACCAGAACAGGGTACCCTTCTTCCTTTTTTGTATATCATAATTTCACTTTTACTTTTTTGTAAATAATTTAGAATTGCATTCCTTTTTTTTTTAATTGCCCGTATTTTTTTCTTCAGATTTATGCTTGATATGTGGTTTTATATGATATTTATTTTAATAAATTTATGAAATGAGTATTGGGAATTTGTGTTTTTGTACCTTATGATAAGGTAAATCAAAGCTTCTGTTAAAACCTATGGGCGTGTGAATTTTCACTGTGTATTTGAATGCGGTTAGGGTTTTCGGAATTTGTATCGCCCGCGTTGTTGCTCTGTATTTCTGTACTGAAATCTGCTTCAGTGGAGTTCCCTTTTAGAAGGAACATGGACGGTTATTGTTAAATCTTTATTGAAAATGCAAATGTGGATCCAGTTATTAGTTCTGGAGCTTTACGCTCTTTGCACAATTTTTAATAGTCCCTCTTGAAGTTTTTTTTTTTTCTGGGTTTTTGTTCGGGTTAATGTCATTTTTGTAAATATTTCAGTTGGTGCCAGGTTGGGCTCCAACTCGAACTTGTTCCCACCTCTCATGTGTTTACTGATGTTTCATAGAATTTCATTCATATTATGCAGTTTATTTGTGTCTTCGACACTGAATTCATTTGTGTATATCATGGTTTTGATTTCGTAATTCTGCTTTTTGTCCTTTGTAGGCTCTTGTCGATGCTCCTAATATGGTGAGGTCGCAAATGAACTTCAAGAGACTTTCACTCACTGACATCAAGATTGATATCAAGAGGGTGCCCAAGAAGAAGGAATTGCTTGCCGCAATGGAAGCTGCTGGTCCATTCCATTATCCATAAATAATGATAGTCTTGTTTTCTTTCCCGCGCCTTTGTTTTCTTTTCATAATTGTATGTATGTTGGCAGATGTGAAGAAGAAGTGGGAGAACAGCTCATGGGGTAGAAAACTGATTGTTCAGAAGAGAAGAGCATCTCTTAACGACTTTGACCGATTCAAGCTCATGTTGGCTAAGATTAAGGTTGGTTATGCTCCTTACCATGACGTTATTTATCTTAATCATTTAGATGATTACTGTTATTTTCTTGTCCTTGTCATGTTGAACCATCCCAAACTAACATGTTTACCTGATTCGCAGAGGGCCGGACTGGTCAGGAGCGAGCTTGCAAAATTGAAAAAGGCTACAGCTTAAGCAATTTCGTTCGTGAAGTTTACAATTTTGTTATGGAATCTTTTCAATGTACTGTGATTGTAATCCCTTTCTTTATCTTCGATCGAATTTAGTTTTCAAGAGCAGTTTCCAATATTATTGACGGATGGAGAACCTTTTATTGGATGAATTTTCTGTCATACTGCATTTTGTTGTCGTCTTGATGTAGATTCATTCTTTAACAGTGTCTGTTTTGAGACCATTACTTTGCGTTTTTTAGGTTCTCTGTTGCCGGTGCGCAACCAATACATGTTTGGTTGCTGCATCGCTCGGGAGTCTATTTAATCAACCTTGAACCAGTCTGTTTCCCAGCGTTGCGGTAAGCGGGCGAGCATAAATCCTCATGGTTACGGGTTTGAAGACTGGTATTGATGAGGAGGAAGAAGATGATGGTCTAAACCTAAAATAATTTTATACATGTCAAATTTGCGTGGCCAAATTTGATCTTGTCACAAAGTTTGTGGAATGAAAGACTGCAATGATAACTCAATCAAGATAAACTTTGGCAGCAATGTTGGTGATTTCAACGTTTAGTTCGGCGTCGCGGATTAGTCTGCGTAAAACAGATTGGACATGAATTCTTTCGTCTGGCTGACTCCAAAGGGCTTGAAGGACTTCCGGAGGGAAAACAGGTGCAGGCTGCGCGATCAACTGGTGGCCCTCGAATCTCAGTCCGTTCAGGCTAGAAACAAGGGACAGACGGACTATATCAGAAACAGAAACATTTAATGGATGAAGGCGATGAACATCTTCCACTTTATATGCATTACACTACCTGTTGAGGATGGTCCACATATTAGGCCATTCGGCAAGCTTGAATTGCACATCCACAATGCCCTTGGATCTCTCCTTTGCACGCTTTATCCCCCCGCGGGATTTACATATATGCTGGATTTGTGTCAGTGATACCGTTTCGTCGAAATTTGAAATCCTCACCACAGTTGTTCTTGGCACATCAATTCTATAGATCGGTAGACGCTTTCCTTTAACTCGTATAGTATGTGCGGTAATTGCCATCTCTTTGGCTTCTTCTGTCTGAAATCAAGCACTCAAAGATGAATTCCAGAATATGATATTATGATGAGAAAGCTTAACACTAAAATTTAATACAAGATTCATTCAGTATCCAGCCAGGTGAAATAAATATTCACAGCGGAACAATAGTTTAACATGCAAGAGTCGGAACAACGGGAACCCAAGCCTTTATCCACTTTTTAACTTCAAGAACGATAGAAAATGGGTTTATAATTTTTTTTTCTTTCTTTGTTTTGGTAACATGATGCTTTGTTATTCAGTAAAAATACAGAAGCAAAGGGTAAATCAGCTCACCTCAAATTCCACATAAGCAACAGAGCTTGAGGAACCCAAGAAAACGCCGGATATGCCACTTCCACAGAAGTCAAGAGCTTCTTTTAGGTGATGTGAGCTTATATCATCAGTCAACTGTTTAATCACAACTGTTCGTGTGGGATTCTTTACCAATGCAGTAGGAACTTTAGGATCACCAATCAGGTTCGGAACGGTACCCTTATTAGGCACATCTCTTGAAGAAGCCGCCTCAACAAAGGCGTCGATATTTCTTACAGTGAGGTCAGTTTTCCCGAGAGCCTTCTGTAATCCTTCCTGGGTCTGCAATAATACCAAAGGACAGTCAAGAGAATTGTGAAATGGCTTAGATTTTGCTTACGAGATACAATGCAACCAGCCACAATTCCATGAGTTGTCTTCAGGACAACCAGAGTTGGGAACAGTTCGTCATTTCAGCTACAAATAATAAGACTCACAGTTTTCTCAATTTCTTGTAGCAGTATGAACAAAAACGTGTGAACATGATGAGCCGTAACTGGAAAACAAAAGGACATACTTTTGGTTTAAAAAAATAAAGGGACATTTTAACCTTAAGTAAGCATTTTGCCATATACCTTAAAATGAACCCAAGCATTTCTGAAATTGCTTCCTTCGATTAAGGGAAGTAGCTGTATCTTGACGATGTCCCCACAACAACAAAGAACATCAAGAACACTACCTTCTTTTACGTTTTTAGGCAAAAATTTCACCAATACCTTTCTTTCGAAGCCTTCCTTACCAGTTGGAAGATGGAACTGTCGGGTTTGTTTTGACTTTTTTGGAGATGCAACTTTCAAGTCATCACTGTCACCTTCAGATATGGAATATGTCTGTGTCAGGGGAGGGGTTTCCCTACATGGTTGTTCTTCACTCCCACTGACAGAGTTAGTCCCCTTGCCCATGGCATGGCCTCTCGACGAACTTTCTTTCCCTTTAGCATCACGCTTATGTGAATCAGCAAGGCTTGGAACCTTTGGAACGGAGCCTCCGTTTTTAATGATGTCATCAGACTTGTTGAGGATAGCACAGTTCTGAGGTTTAACAAATAAGGATTCCCTAGGAAGCTCCTTAATGCAGCCAATTAAGCCATTGATGCTGAATCCTTTTCCAATATCTTCTTCATCTCTAGTTGTTTCATTTGTTTCATTTAAAACTCCCAAAAGTCCATTTGAAGCCAACAAACCATCGCTCCTTTCACTGGCCAGTTTTCCATCTTTTTGACCATTCATTGTCCTCATAAACATGTCTACCAACCCCACCTTTTTAGATAATGCAGGCATTTTACCCACATCAGTACCTACAGTAGGTGTTTGATCAAATATTGAAGTTGTTTTCTCACATTGATGGTTTCGATTTCCAACTTCTGTGAATCCATTTGCAACATCCTTTTGCAATATCCTAGAATCTTCACCAGGTAACTGATGTGTTAAGCAGGACTGGAACTCAGTTTCTGATTTGAGAACCCCAATGTTGTCCGACACGGCTTCCTCTAGTTTTCTGTGTGATTTAGGCTTGGCCTCTGATTGACCCATATCCTTGGAAGATATTTTCTGTGTTATATTCGAAGCTGCAGATTCGGCAACACATCTTTCATCGATTTGAGAATCCATGAAGGCCTCAGATGATTGAACTAAACTTCCGCTTGCACCATTTTCAACAGTTTTACGACCAACATGTTTCCCTTTTTTATTAGATACAGCCACACCAATAAAACTGCTCAAAGATTCTTCCCCCCTTATATTCGATGACACATTTGTTGAGTTATTCTCTACATTTTCTGGACCAGCATGCTCCTTTCTAGCATCAGACACAATGACACCAGCCAAGTTCTCTGAAGAACAAAGCACACCTCCTGAGGCCTGAGCTGTACCTTTAGACTTGCCAAGCTCGGTACTATCTATATGTTTATGCACCTCGACTCGTTTAGAAGCTGTAGCATCATGTACTTCAGACGAAGAGCATTCCCCAATTATATCATTTCTTAGACTCATTGAGACATTCTCCTTGAAACCATGAGAGTCTCTTGTGACTTTTGGCATTCGAATACTACAATTGGGTTGATCATTTGCAGTGTCATGTGGACTATTCTTTGTCTTAATAACCTCCGGAACTGTCCTATCAGATGCGGAGTCAATTGCTTTGATAGTTCGTTGCTTCTGAAATCGGGGACTTCCCAGCATTCTTTCCTTCACATTAGTAAAAATGTCTTTCAGAGCCTCCCAAGATCCCCCCACTTTGTTATGCATCTCCATATATCTATAAATCCAATTTTACAAAGGCTTAGCAACCAAGATCGATTATAAGATACGGGCACACATTATAAATACAATTGAGTGATGATGTTGCACCTTCACAACACCTTACCACGCCAATCCCCCAAAACACACAAATTAATTAATAACTAAAATAAAATGCAAACTACAGAAAGTACCATAAGTCGTGTATTTTTTACTTTCCAAAATATTTCAGAATGTGAGTATATGGCAAGCCTGCATACACTGCACATATTTTGCTCAACTATGCATATTTTTGCTTACGCCTATATGTTCTGCACACAATTTTCTGATCTCTATTTGGTTGCTCGGACTCTCTTGAGCACTAAATGAAATTTCCCAGGAGTAATTTTTTATACCATTTGGCAATATCTACAAAAAAATGGGGAGTTCGGGCTAATGTTTCCTATGTTTGTATCTACAATTGATTCTTCACGTGTATCATCACCCGCATTGAGACGGTCGCAGACTTAGGGAGACTATCATAGACTTTAGGGTAGTTCAGAATTACTAATTTTGCATAGTTGGCACGCCACATGCTTGATGTAGTCGATCAACAAGATAATTTGGTTTTACATTTTCAGCATTGTGTGCTAACTCACGGGCTTAATGTTTGGGTTTTCTACAATTTGGGGTTTTTTCATGAATCGTTCTACAATTTAATGTTGGCTAATTTCATGAATTGTTCAGTCCTCCACACATATAATGGAATAATAACTTTTGCTGGGTTTCAAAAAGATCTCACTTGCTGTTATCTGACTTATCAGCCGCTGCAGCTCTTCGCTCCTTCTCCTTCGAGTTCTCGGAACCCGACGATTTCTCCGCCGCACCGCTCAACGAAGAAGAACACCATCTTGTCGATATGGGAAGCGCTGAAACGGTACATATAATCGATTTTGTGAGCAAATGTGTTGGATGAAATGTAACAAGGATGCTTTGGGTGAAGTGGGTTTTACCTGTTTTGGGGAGATGATGATGATGCCATGGCTGCCGAAGGAGGAGACGAGAGAGAGGCCATCTTCGCCTCCGCTCTCTTTCTTTGGCTCTCTGGTGGGAATTGAGGGTTTTGCAAAGGTTTTTGGAAATGAACAAGGATCCTCTTCGGATCCGCTTTGTGAGGATCTTGGAGATTGTTAAATCGTGTTCGTTTATTATATATCGTGTGATCAGTGTTTCGTCAAATACTATTTATATTTAATTTTAAATAAAAATATTTAAATTACTTTCTGACCACACGATGTACGATGAACGAACACGATTTGAGGATCCCCATGATCCTCACAAAGAGGATCCTCATGGTTTGAAAATTACCATTTCTATTTTCTATTTTGTATATATATATATATGTTTTTCTTTTGCGGGAGCAATTAAAAGACTGTTTGGTATTTAACTTGAATTTAATTTTTTTTAATTCAAAATTTGTTCTTGAAAATTCTTGTTTAGTGGAACTGTTTACACAAATTGAACTCAAAACCAACTTGAAAAAGATAGCCTATTTATTAAAAATACAAATAGTTAGTTTTTAGAGTTTTCAAACTCAACATACTCTCCATTTTCAATTGAGTATCAATCAGTATAATTATCATTATTACTTAGTATTACGACCTAATTGTATTATTCTTCGCTTATAAGTGAGAGGTCTTAAGTTCGAATCTCGCCAAAGGCAATTTTGAACCAAATTATTACGGTTAGCCTAATGTGAGGTTTAGCCTACTCCCCCACCGCTTAATGTAGATAATATCGAATGTATTAAAAATGATAAAAAAGCCATGTGGATTAGGTTGTGTTTGGAAGTGATTCTAAAATTACTATAAACAATTTTGACGAAGGTGTTTTTTGAACTAATCTTTAGTAAAATTACAAGTGAATCTTGAAAAACACTTGAAGTGCTTCTTGTAAGAACTAACTAGTGTTTCTTCCAAAATGCACTTCAAATACTTTTGATACCCAAAAACACTTTAACCAAAAAATTTTTTAATTATTTTAAAAATACTTTCAAACATGTTGTTAGTCTTTTAAAGTATGATTACCATCATTGAGTTTAACTTACAAAAAGAGTAGAGTTTCAAATTTTCAATACTCAAGCAAATGTAAGCATAACAATGTAATCTGTCTGCTAGAGTATATGGATTTGTTGTTCACTTGTTCTTATTTTAAGGGAAGTTTTAACAAAAAAAATTTGCGGTACTGTTTACTTTAAAGAAAAACTATATTTTTACACTAAAAAGTTAATCTTGTCACTATTCTTTTTACTCTTTATTTTGTCTTATTTTTAAAACTTGAAATTTTGAAGTTATTTTCATTAGTTTTCTTATTTAAGATCTATATGCTAAGGCCTCGTTTGAATATTCTTGGGCCTCATTTTACATTGGACCTGCACTGAGCTAAGAGCCTCTTATGCATTGTTCACCAAATAAGTCACCAACTTTCTATCCTTTTCCATTAGTTGCTTTTAGTCCAAATTTAAAATAAGGTTGATGTTGAAAATATTGTTTTTAAAATAAACTGCGATTTGACTTCTTGAATTATTATCTTAGTTGAAATTAACTTTTGATTTTTTTTTTTGTTAAGTTAACCCCCTAAATTATGTGACATTAGCCAATTAACCCCTCATCATTAGCTTCGATAAAATTTCATTCACTTTGCCGTCAAATATTGGCACATGACTAGCACGTGATTCACTCTTCAGGGTAAATTCATGTCAATATTTGACAGCAAAGTGAATGAAATTTCATCGAATATGATGGTGAGAAGTTAATTGACTTATTTCAAATAGTTTTGGGGGTTAATTTACAAAAAAAAAATAGTTCAAGTGGTCAAACAACATTTTACCCTATTATTATTAAATGGCTATTAAATTATGAGTCAATATGTAATATATAATTATTTAAGACATTTTCTATGTAAATTGTAAGCCTATAAATAGACACTCTAATAAGAAGAAATAAACACTCGAATTTTCTCCTCCTAATCTTTATATTATCTTTTCGGTTTACATGTTCAAACCACCTTAACCAATTTTTTCTCATCTTATCTTCAATTGCAGTCACTTGTACTTCACTTCAAATATCTCTGATCTTAATTTTGTCCTTTATCATGTGCCCATACATCCAACGAACCATTCTCATATCCGCTAAGCTAATTTATTTTTCATGTGTTGATGCTTGACAACCCAACATTCAGTGTCGTAAAGCATTGTTGTCCTATAAAATTTTTCCTTCAGCTTTAGTAGCATACGATAGTTGCACAACACATCTGATGCATTTTTCCACTTCATCCATGCAATTTGTATTTTATGGTTGAGATCTCCATCCAATTCTCCGTTCTTTTGCAAGATAGATCCAAGATAGCAAAAGCGTTCGATTTTTGGTACTTCTTGATCTCCAATCATCACCCCTATCTAATTTGGATGCTCGTTCCCACTAAACTTGCTCTCCATATACTCTATGTTGACCAACTTATGCCAAGACCTTTAGATTCTAACACTTCCCACCAAAGGTTAAGCTTCGCTACTCCCTCCTGAGTTCATCTATCAACACTATATTGTCTGCAAAAAGCATACACAAAAGGGATAACATCTTGAATATATATATCCTATTAACTCATCCATAACCAATGCAAAAAGGTAAGAACTTAAAGCTGAGCCTTGGTGTAACCCTATGGCTATGGAAAGCTTTCAGTTTTTCTTATTGACGTCCTTACTCTCTTAAACATATCCTTTTTTGATTGGATATATGCTACTTGTACTCATTTCTTCTCTAGAATCCTCCAAAAAAATTTACTGGGGACACTATCATACGCTTTTTCTAAATCTATAAAGACCATGTGCAAATTCTTTTGCATATCTCTATATTGTTCCATCAATCTTCATAAGAGAAAGATTGTCTCCATGGTCAAGCGCCTTGACATGAACCTAAATTGATTGTTTGAGACCCCTATCTCTTACCTTAGTCTATGCTGAATTACGCCATCCCAAAACTTCATTGTACAACTCATTAACTTAATACCCCTATAGTTCATATAATTTTGTATGTCACCATTATTCTAGGCGTCAAAGTGCTCTTTCCCACTGATTTGGCATCTTCTTCGTTTTTAAAATCTTGTTGAAGGTCTATGAGCCATGCTATACTCGTCTCTCCCATAACCTTCCACACTTTGATCGCTATATTGTCGGGACCTACTGCATGTGAAATTGTGAGAATAAAGTCCCAAGACTTCGGTCAATTCCTCAAATTATAAATTAATTTTGCGTTGAAACCTCAACGTGAGAGAAGGTAGTCAAAGACTTAATTAGAGAATGACAGGCTGACAGCTCCATCAACTTGAGAAGAAGAATCATCATACATAAAATGAATGCCAAAGGGGCCTTCTTCTTGCCGTCGTTCCCAATTCAACCATTTATTTGATTAGAAAATTATAAAATTCAAATCTATCTCTTGAATTTTGGTTCCAAAGTTAGATTTAACTTCACGATGTTACTAAAATATCGTGGAAATGCCGTTGATGGTGAGGTGCTACAAATGAAAAACAAACTTCTAGATTCTGACACCAAATTCTACAAAACCCAAAAGAACAAGAGGAAAAACGATCTTAGTGTCAAGACTGAAATATACGGATTATTTAGCAAACAACACGTGTCATATATTAACATAAAAGTCGCGTTTAAAATTTTATGTGTTATGACTGAATTATGTGTTTTACCTCTTTTTTTTTTTTTGGTAATCTAGAAAAGTCTATTACAAAATGAATCTTCAATGGATCGAAAAAGTAAGTTCTTAAAGCATAGACACTTACCAGATACATAATGTATGTACCCATATATAGGAGCTACAGAGGGATATAATCTTGAATGGAGAATGGGACCCATAATCTTGATTGAAGCTTCTAATGCTTTAAATGCTTTTAATTAATTAAAAAAAGGTTAACATAAACAAAATATGTGCATCCAATCAAATTATCACATAAAATCATAAAAACTTCAAATTTAGGGATTATATTATAAGGACTCCCATTGGAGGTAATATTCCTTTAGGGACACAAAGATTTCGTTTAAGTCTTGAAATGAGTACTCAAATATGACGGCGGGAGTCCTTAAATAAAGACTCCTATTGGAGATGCTTATGGAGTTAAAAAGGTATGAACCATTAAAGCTTAAAATTACTCTATAATTCAGTTATTAAAAAAAGGAGAGGAGAAACTTCAAAGACTTTTATTAAAGTGGGTCACCAAATTGAAATTATAATAGTTAGTTGGCCTAATTTATCAATAAAATAAGCTGAACGAAAATCTTCATAGATCATTCTGAGGTTTTGTTGTTAAGCTACTATATTTTTTTCAAAATTATTTGTTTAGGCTTTAGATGTGAAATAAAGTTATTGGTTTGACTCACATTTATGCAAGTTTATGGAAATATCGACAAATATATCGAATAACAGTATTGGTTGTTTTTAATGAAAATGATGAAAATTACAAAATGAAACATTAGGGATTGTCAAATATTAGTTTTGATGAAATATAAGAGTTTATCTGATCTTTAACATATGTGTCTGAAATATCTACGATATTTGTTGATTTTAGCCTTAATAAGAGTTCCTCGAGATGAGGCGAAGTTACTTCGCCTCTCATTTCCATATCTTTATCTGATTTTTTGAATATTTCTATGAAAATATCGATTCTATCGAAGAAATTTTGTAATCTTTGTATATGTGAGACATGTATTGTAAAGGTGATCAATAAACGTGGTGAATGAATATGCTTGCAGAAACTACATAATTCCCATTACCATGATATCCACAAATGGGCAGTTACAATTTTATAATTTCTTGCTAACAGATTCAGAGATGATTTTGACCCAAAAAAAGATTGAGAGATGATTAAAGATAATAAATTTTCTATTTTAATACATGCATTAACCCTAAATTAGGATGTCTCTAGATGAATGTAAAACCAGCTTAAGACTCCTCATTGACTTTAAATAGCTCCAAATTATAATTACATTACCAACAAAACTGGCAAACCATCACATATGCCAAGTTTAGCTCTTAATTTCTTCTCTATTTATCCATTATTTCCAATTTCTAAAAAATTCTTCCCCTTCAAGTGATTTATCTTGTTTCTTTTTTTGTTGGCCTGAAGGTGATTATCTTCTCCGTTTACTAGATAATCACCGAATGACCTCTGATCGTATTTCAGGGGTACTCATGGGCATTAAAGATAAAATGGCCCCTAATCATATTTCAGGGGTGTTCATGAGTGCTAAAGATAAAATGGCCCCTAATCATATTTCAGGGGTGCTCATGGGCGTTAAAGATATTCAGATCAAGCCAAATGTAAGTCTGCACATGTTTTCATGGTTAGCGCTTGAACGCTGGTATATACATGTTCCATTTTCTTGAAAAACTGCATTTATTTAGTCTTTTTAATTGTGTTCTTGGACTATCTGGATAATCTTATTTCCGGGTTTCTCAATTGAATGACAAAAAAGAAGAAGTGATATGTTGTTATAATAATAATATAATAATAATAATAATAATAATTATTATTATTATTATTATTATTATTATTATTATTATTATTATGGAATTACCTTACAATTGTTATGGAATTACCATATACAAAGTTTGATTTTCGAACCTGGACGTAGCCATAATGTTTAAACATTACTTATACCCAAAGTTTGTGTCTCTCCTTAAAATTTAGATTAAATTAGAATATTTCTTGAAAGAAAAGGAAAATGTTTGATTTTTAAGTAGTGCTAAACTTATTATCTATTTGTATCATCTCTCTAATAAATGTAGAGTTCACCAACACATGTGGATTCCATCTTAATCAGAAAGACATGAGGGTACATATAGATGTTAAATAGCATTTTTGTTGGTTTTTTTTTTTTTTTTGTCTTTTTGCTTGTTTTCAGTTTTAAGACTTTTGAGTTTCCATTGTTCCTTTGTATAATGTATGTCATTATCACTAATTTTTTACCCAAAAGTTTGTGTGTATCTGTGTCAACACACACACACACACATATATACATACATACATACATATAATATATATATATATATATATATATATATATTATATGTATGTATACAAGTATCCTTAACTAGTAGCATTCCTTTCTTAATTTTACCAAAAAAAATGTGGTTTCGGGCTTTGCAGCTGAAACGCTTCCTCATGGGAAGTGGTGTGGGGAGGAAGAAGAAAGAGGCCACCATGGCAAAGAAACCGTCGTGGATGATGCCTGCAGTCTCACATGGATATCACACCCGTGAGAGCTACACATCACCGGCTACCTATGGCGATTCCGACTCCGACTTTATTGTGGCTCAGAGAGAGCAAATCGAAGAGCTTGAGCTCTGGTTTTTCGGAGTTTTCGATGCCCGGGTTGGCGACCGGGTTGCCAAGTACATGCAGTCACATTTGTTTGACAAGAAGCCTAAAGAGGTATAGGAAACACCTTCCTTTAGTTTAAGCACAAGTTAAAGTAATCACAATCCAATTTTCATGAAGATGATTGTTAATTAGTTCCGGCTCATGCGAACGGGGTTTTGCGTTATTTTCTCTTTGGTGTACACCAACTACAGAGTTGCTCGAGCGTGCGCAATAGGATAGGAGAATTTATACTCATATAACAGAGAAAAATATTTGTTGATTGTTCATTTTTTATGTCCAACTTTGTGCAGTCTCATATAAGGGGAAAGAGCAAGGAGACGATGAGAAAAGCCTTTCTTGGTGCTAGATCAAAGGTTAGAGAGGCCTCGGAGGAGACGAACGGAGTCGGTTCAGTTTCCGCGATGGTGATGGACGGGGAAAAGCTTGTATTGGCTAACATGGGAGACTATAGAGCAGTTGTGTGTAAAGATGGTTTCGCTCATCAGATAGGCACCAAGAAGAAGCAATCAACCAAAAAGATTTGGTCACACAGGTTGTTTCGAGGTAACGTGGACTCATAACCCTGGAGCCGCCAAATTTGTTCACCAACTGATGCGTCAGATGGTGTGACAATGTTTACTTGTTTAAGAAAATGAGGTTTGGATTCGACCACGCCATGCTGGGGATACAAAGTTGATGACCTTCAACTGAAACGAATCATCATGTCCAGCAGTAGCCGTATCCATACCTCATTTTTGACACGCTCGTGTTTAAAATTCGCGTGCGTATACGTGTGCGAAATGCTCACATTTTAGCGTGTGATTTCTGGCAATGCAGCAAAGACCAGAACTTGCAAAAGCTCAGACCTTGTTGTTGGGGTTGAAGGGGTTGATCCGGATACTGAATTTGTGATTTTAGCCAGCAATGGCATATGGGAGGTAAGACATTTGATCATCCCGCACATATTTACTGCAAGTTCTTCCTATTAGAGAGACAGTAATCCGGCAACTATAACGTGTTTCAGGTAATGAAGAATCAAGAGGCTGTGAATCTCATCCGACGCATCGAAAATCCACAAACTGCTTCCGAGTATTTGGCGGAGGAAGCTTCGAATAGAATGAGCAGAGGCAGCATTTCTTGCTTGGTCATCAGATTTGATTAACATGTGGTTACAATTTGTTTGGCACTCGTTTCTCCATTCCGCATTGATAAAAAAGGGAAGGGGAAAGGAAAAGAGCGATCAAAGGTGAAATATTGCGCAATGCCTTCCGTAAGTAATTCCTGCATCTTAGTTCAACCAAGGAAAAACATGACTAGGAGTTTAAAAGTGACAAATAATGTAACAAATTTTGCATCAAGGAGCAATTCTATTTGGGATCTTTGCAACCCTGTCTCGGTCGAAACTTGAAATCTAAGAGAAAATCACAAGCCACTTCTCAGTTGTGGAAACTCTATTTTTGTGCATTCTCCCTCTCTGTGACATCCACGAACCCGAGATCAATCCCATCCACAATAAACTATGTCCAACAACAATCATCGTTGAGGTTGCAAATTACGCAGAGGAGCGCTACAAACGAATTCGGCATGCAACGCTAACAAACTAATATGAATGTACAAAGACAAGTTAGACAACATCAAAACTAAGATTTTCCTTTTAAACATACAGGAGAGGAAATCTGTAGAGCTTTTATGACTCAGATTGCAGCCAAGTGCTGCATAAATAAGAGAAACCTTGTTGCTTCTGTCTTCAATTTCGCAAGCATTCACATCGTCACGTTGTCAGCTTCTTCTCGCTAGTCTTTCTTTTGAATGGTGACAACAAGGAGAAATGGCGAGAAGCTGTAACCATATGAATGAAATTCTACACGGTTAGAAAATTATTGAATCATTAAAAAGAAAAGGAAAAAAAAAAAATTGAATGGAGCAACGCGAGTTGCAAAAATGATAAACACTTACACTTTTGTGTAGAGCTGGGATTTGGAGTTTCATCTTGTGATATCAGATTCTTTAATGTAAGGACTGATATGGAGCACAAAAAAAATGAGTGTCAGCTTATATAGTATTTGAGATCAGACTCTATAAATAACTTCTTATTGACCCAATACACAACTCGTGAACCTACAAATTTCGATTTTTTCACAAACCAGTGACTTGCAATCTTCATAAATGAACAGACTTAGTGATGACAAATAAAACACACAGGAGAGATAGCAATCAAAAGCGCGTGCACACAACAGCAAACGAAACAAAGCAAGGTGAACCCGGAGCCAAAGTCACATCAATCACATCAGCAAAACATTTTATTCACTAAATGTTCCTAGAGCTGCACAAGAAAAATAAACTAGTTCTCTACGTGCCACATTGCAAACTACTACGAGATCACATGAACATTGAAACACTTAATAGACAGATAAAACAGAGGGGAGCATCTATAGAAACCTACAGTATCCTCAGTACAAAAATGGAAAAACATATGGATTTTTTCGCACGGTAAGTTTACAACCAGAAAACGGAGGCACATGCAATAGACATTCTATAAGAGATGGTGTTACAAATATTTAATCCACAATGGATTTGGATAATGTAATGTTTAACTGGTACAAGGACTTGCATGAATTAGGAGTTTACAAAGAATGAATTAGGAGTTTATAGCTGCAAATTTTCATTAGTCTTATTTTATTCATTCCATAATGTTAATTACACTTCAAATTCTGTCTAGCACGCATAATGAATGTGATCGGTTGTCAAAATGTTTTGTTTATTTGTTTTCAAGGCCTAATGCAAGTTACCTTCACTAGAAGAAACAATGTTTGTCCCATTATCACCTGCCTCAGTACCATTCATGCTGACGTTATCTGATTCAACATTACGTTCACCTGATGATGAGCCATGGTTCTTCATCCCAAACTTTAACAGCCGTCTGAACCCTTTTAATGATTCCTTTGCCTGAGGCTTTTCAAATGCTTCTGGAATCTTTTCAAGGTTACTAGACTCAGGTACAGGTGCTTTTATGGTCACTGTGCCTATTGCCACAGTCTTTAAGTTTGTGGGTGCTTTTCCGTACTCAGGATTCTGAGTACATGGACCTGCCAGAGAAGGAACTCGCACATAAGGGGCTTGATATGGTTTTGCAGCAGTGCTATTGCTTGAAAACTTTGCCGATTCCTTCTCCATATTACTCGTAGTAACCTATCCATCAATGTGGTTACACAAAGCACAAACACCACTCAGAAATTGGTCCACGATTTATGATATGACTAACTAAATATATCTTATTGTTCATAGCTATATTCTTTTTGAAGAGTCAAAGAAAGATAAATGCCTAACGATGTATATTACAAATAAATAAATAAATGAAAGCAATTGAATTGCAAATAAAATTTCTGATGCTATCTCTGACCAGAAAAAACATAAAAAAAAAAATTAAAAAATAAAAAGCTTTTGAAATTCACATGTGGTAATAGTAAGGATTCATATAAAACTGCACTTTTGCTAGTTAGGAACACTGACCAAGAATTAATACCATAGATATGAATACAGCCTACGGATCTTCCTCTTCTGTTGCAGTTATTGAAATTGCAATTTTAGATTGTAAACAATGACTATTACTTGCTTGTAAACTTTTCAGACGCAATCAAACCCATCATGGTCCGTTGCAGTCAGTATAGACAAAAAATGTAAAACTGGAAGCAAAATCCTTTGGTTATCTGATAAACCATACCTCATGAGACTGAAGTTGCTGCTGTAATAGGTCACGAGCAGGTTCTCTATTGAATGTATCAATCGTTAGTGGTGAAACTGGTGCCCGAATAGCAGCATACTCTGACACCTCTGTCTTCTCCTTAATATTCTGTCCCTTCGCATCCCTCAAAGTTTCTTCTGCATGTACAATGGGAATGGAAGGTTTCTCAAGCATCACGAGAGTTTTCTCAATTACTAAGTTGTCATCCCGATCACTATGGTGTGAAATTTTGTCATCATTCCCCTTCGGTTGACCACCTTCAGAGGTAGACTTCACAGAATCATCTTTCTGTGTCACTCCTTTAGTCGTTGATGTGCTCTGGGCAGCATCAGGTCCCTTGGGTGTCCTGATTTTCAATTCTGGGAGAGTAGCAGCCTTGCTTTTGTCATAATTCACGATAGCAGATATTTTCTTGCTCTCATGCCCATCAGAAACTTTTGGCTTTGATACTGTTACAGTACTCCGCAGCTTCACTGAAGAAACATGATGGCCGTTAGTCACCTTAGGCTCTGATAACCTTCGAATCCGTGCCATGGATAGCTTAGCATTACTTGCAACACCAGCTATGTCTTTCTTTTGTTCAGGATTACTTGCAACACCAGCGATGTCTTTCTTTTGTTCAGGATTACTTGCAACACCAGCAATGTCTTTCTTTTGTTCAGGCAATGAAGATACAGACCGGGTTAACCTGTGTACAGCAGAGTGGTTTCCAGTACTCAGTTTGCTGGATTTGGAGGTTTTGTGAGAATCGGCAGAGCCCATAGAGCCAGTTTTGATGGGCATCCTTTGCAAAGGAGATGATGACCCTGGCTCAGAATCACGAAACTTTGATCCTCTGTGTGTGCTTGGAGATGGTTTTGTCGGCCCTTGTTTCCTGGTTTGCAGCGAGGGCAATGGTGATATTGCAGGGATGGTACCACCTCGAGCAGCAATCCTCTTTTGCCTCTGTATCTTTAAGGCTTCCAGCCGTTTCATCTCTTCTTCTTCCTGTAAACAAAAAGTGCAAAAACTTCAAAAATCTAATGAATAAAACAGATAAACTGGCTAGCATATAGCATGTGAAGCTGATTCTACAACATATATAACCACTTGTTGCACAGGCATGGACACCAGACCCAGGAAATAAGTTACAATACAGAACAAATATGATCAGTGATAAATCGACAAATTGAAAGCAACAAATAATTACATTATAATGTGTTTTTTTTTAACTAAGGATTCAAAGTTATATAGTTGACTTTGTTAACTTTATCTCTCTCTCTCTCTTGAATTTAAAAGGTCATAAACTCATTTGGGGAAATTTCTTGAAGAAAATACCAAGTCTAAGAATATGTTCAGGTGCAAGAAAAATAATGTGGACAGGACCACCTGGTAAAGTTCCAGTGCTTCATAGTTTTATGACACATTTTAGATGATTTAAAGAGCAATACAAGATTGATACATACGTTGATGTCCTAACATGCGATGTGTCCGACAAGGACATGGCTAACTTGTAAAATTATCTGAACTCCACAAGACATTTTATGTGCTTTTATCAGGCAATACATGATGGATAGATATTTATAGCCAAAATCACTGTTGTCTGACTCAATTTTTTCTACTTTTCAAAGTGAAAATAGCATTATGGAAAATTGAAATAAACAAATAAATTAAATCCCTCAGATTTTAAGGAATTATTCTAACCTCTATAAATTTCAGCATAATTTTTACTGTTATTTAAAATATTGGTAATAAAGGGAAAAAAAAATTCACTTTGAAATAGTGTACAAAGATGGCGGTGAGTCCAGTGACAAAAACATTGAGAATGTTCATCTATCTTTTTAAAATTGCAACAAAAATAAAAGCTTTTTAACCCCAGTTGCAAGTCCAAGGCATACAAAAACTGTCAAGAAGATGATACTAAAATAGTGTTTCAAAAGAAAAATTCTCTACTTTGGATAAGGGAGAATAGCCTATTGTAATTTAGTAAGACCAGGAAAGGTCTTAGTAAATTTACTCTGCGAAAAAGCAAAACAGATAGGAAAATGATAAATAACCTTTTCTTTCTTCATTTTCTGAAGATCGGCTTTAAAGCTTCTTAGTTTCTCAGCACGTGCTCGAGCTTCATCCAAAGGACTAAGTTTTGAGGGCTTTCCTCTCCTTATTGGTCCTCCAATCTTCTTATCTGAAGTATCTGAAACCATTTTTGATTTCTTGTCCTTGTCAGGCTTCTTAGACCCTTGCTTGTTTTCACTCATCACTTCCTTATGTTTCTTATCCAGAGAAGCACCTTGCATTTCATAATCTAAAGCAGGGTCGTAGCCTGTTGAACCCTTTTCTGCACCACGCTCAGGCATTAAAGTCAATTCATCTGGCTCATAGTTAACTTGTGAGTTTTCCACCTGAGCTGCTGATGGGAACTCAGAGCCCATGTCGATAGCATTTCTGTCATTGTTTTCGAGATGATCTAGTGAAATTGACCTCAATGGAATTATGTATGAATCATCATCCATGTTGTGAGATGACCTCCTATCCAAACCATTGGTTGCACGATCAAATCCATTTATAGCAAGCGGATCCGAGGGAGAACTTGTAAAACCTGACTGGTTATTATGTCCATGAATCATAAAATCGTCACTGGCAGTCCTTCTATAATTACCCCTTATGCCATCTATTTCTGTAGACCGTAAATCCATTTGACCATTACCATGAATCAACTGATCATTTCTTGCAGATATCAACATTTTATCATTTGATGACTTTTGCATGTGGGTAACATTTCCACTAAATTTATTAATATCTGTTGTACTTCCTTCTTGAATTTCTCCCCTATCTCGACCACCAGAAACTAAAGGATCATCCCCCAGGTTATTTTGTCGCCTTTTCAGTTGACCCTTCTTTTCCATGGAAAACATGCCTTGGTCAAGCTCGCGTCTGTCTTCATCAGGATCTCTGAGTAAGAAATTCTGAAATGCCTGCCAGTTCCCTTCATCTCCCTCCATAAGAACAGTTTCTTTCCTTTTTGAGGATTTATGAGAGTGTGTAACCTTCATCTCAGGAATGCCACCCTCAAAATCTCCATTGTCCTCATCAGTTTGAGAGTCACTAGCTGAGTCACTATCTGAAGAGTTTTTTCCCTTTGCGGTGATGTAATTTAAGTTCCGAACGACAACCCTGCCAGATTGTTTTTTACCTGAGCGGCTAGCCTTCTTTCTTGATTCTTGACTTTTTGAAAAATCCTTTTCTAATTCCACATCATTTGATTCAATATTTCCATTACTGCTATCCATGGAGTGCCTTTTCTGTATTCTTTGACCTTGATTGAGTTTAGGATCCTCTACTATCTGATAAGGCGGCTGAAAAAATGGGCTATTTCCTGGGTAATTCTGAAAATAAGGCATGCCTTGCATAGGATATGGTGGATACACTGGTAATGCACCTGGAGAAGACTGAACAGGCCAAGGAGGGTACATCTGATGGGGATACTGGCCCGGAAAGTGTTCCTGGTGGCTTAATGGTGGTTGATGCTCTGCAGTAGGCTTTTCTTCTGCACAAATAAGCAGACAAAATCTCAGCTATCCTAAAAGTAGCGAACACGATTATACTAACGCCATGCAGTATGATGAATGGGGCCCTTCTCAAAGTCAAAACATTAGATTTCGTCTTTACAACTGAAATTGATGATCAATCTTAAGACACGGTCTCCATGATGAAATTTTTTGAGAACAGTGAATATAATAGGTTAGTTACCTATAAGTAGTATACCTCTTACAACCTGTACTCCTACCTGCAGTTACTTGTTGGTTGGTTGCACTCGAAAGCATTATGCCCGATGCATTAATGGCAGAGAATTCTGATCTGTTAGCCATTGCTTCAGCTGCTTCAATTTCAAGCCATTGCCCAGTTTCATGCTTTCTTTTCCACAGTTCCTTAAATCTTCTACAAGCGTCCCTGTTAGATTGATAAAGTTAACATTATCAGGAAAGATTCTGATACAAAATATCCTGCCTCATGTTAATGTTAAAGTGGCCAGTGGAAAAAAATTCTACTTACGTTAAGCGTGAAGCTCCAAACCATTCAGCAAATGATATCAATGGTGGCAAATGATCAACGTCAAAACCTGCGGCTACAGCACGTGCAAAAGCCATACCTTGCTCTTTCTGCAGCATAGTTCTGCGTGTCTCCAGGACTTTTAAAAGATGAACTCTACCATAATATTAGATAAATGGATTAGCAGTTGCACTTATGTTATACAGAAAATAAGGGAATATCCCAATAATCTGTGCTGCAATGCATAGTTGCAGGAAACTGAATATCCCTCCATTGAATGGAATTTATCAATAGAAAATGTGTCGGTGAGTAGGAGACGATGCACGCAGGCATGTGTGCATGCTGACCCTTTAACTTCTGTTTTCCATCAGACTTTTATAGAGATGATACAAACCATTGTTTTTTCTCTGACATCAATGGTGCACCATTTTTTCTTTTTTTGCAAATGATAACTACCCTATAACTGAATAGAAAGGAGACGTATGGAGGAGGAGGTTCAAAATTTGATAGAGCTATAAGCCCATACGCATCCCTGGTTTACTTGAAATGAATATATGGCAGCAGGATAATCAAAGGGAATTTAGGTTCGAAGGGCCACCCGAAATTTCAAGATCACAAGTGCTGAGACCTTAAACAACAGTTTACTTTCATGACAACTTTAACCCATGAGAGGCACGGTACATGGTCTTTGGAGCAGCACAAGAGAATATGAAAGAGATGGTACGTACTTTGAATTTGCCTCTTGTGCAGTGAATCCATTTGCTTCAGGTTGACCATCAGGCTGCCAGTTTTGCAAGAGAAACCAAATCAGAAACACTAACAACAACAAAAAAAATGAAATAAAAAGGTACAGATTTAAACCTGGTAAAGGACAATTGCTTTCTCTTCACTAGCATCTAGCAAAGGCTTGTTTCCTATAAAAAATAATTTGGGGTTCACAATCCATTAGATGAACCATTAACTAGAGAAACAAAGAAGGAATTACAGTCTTTTGAATCAGAAACAAAAACAAACATGGCAACAGATTACAGAGCTTAGCTGACCGAGTACTTGCCATCCATTAGTTGAAACAAAAATAAGTGGGAAAAGGGAGGAAAGAGATACAAGCCCAGTGAAACTTTCACCAGACTTCATGTTCTGATATGAAGCAGAATTTGAAACTTTCCCCATTAATAAGTGGGAAAAGGGAGGAAAGTGATACAAGCCCAGTGAAACTTTCACCAGACTTCAAGTTCTGATATGAAGCAGCATTTGAAACTTTCCCCATTAATCCCCTCTAGTACCTCAACACCCTCCCTTTTTTTTTCCTATGTAGACCCCAAAGGCAAAGCTTTTATAAGGGAGAGACAAAAAAAAAAAAATCTAGGTTTTGGTGAAGCATTGTAGGGAAGTTAGGGGCTGTCGGCACCTGATAGAGGCATAAGCTGGGACACCACTAGAACTATCTGCATCAAGTGTGTTGAGTGAGGAGGGTAAAAAACTCAAATATCAGCTTTCCAGTGCACAATTGAAAGAATACAGAAACAGGCAAAAAAAGTCTTATTTTACTAATAAGAAAATCATTGTGTGACATTGTTTAGTTGTCTTTTCAACATTACCTTCAAAGCTATCTACGGGTTTTCCATGATTGTCCTCTACCTGCCACAAAGAAACTGAGACTGACTTTTCTATGCGGATACCAAATACAGATCACTGAGAGCTAAAAGATTTTACTTACATGATTAAGTCCCGTGTCATTATTTCCTTGAATTGCAATTGCCTCTTCAATCTGTAAAATCTCAGATTCTAAAGTGTACACCCGTTCCAAGACCTCTGGGGTGCTCACAAAGCGAACAAACCTAATATTCACCTCACAAATTAGTACGGAATAATGGTTTTCCAGTGAGAGGAATTATCATTGCAGCATACAAGATACTGCATTCCAAAATTCTGGCAACAGTCATAGGTTTGTAAGATGAAATGTTGAGCCTATAAGGCTTAGTAATCACTTTTTATACATTTGAAGACAAATATAGAAAATCAGTTGTATTGAAACTTTAAAATGAGAAGGGATTCCAAATTAGAAATTAAGCATGCACCGCACGAAACAGTCATGTTACCCTACACTTTCTACTTGGTGTGCTTAGCAGAGAAGATTGAACTTATGCACTCATCAAACATGTTGAGAACACCCTAGATAGTAGAGAGGCACTGGATTTCATTACAACCTTTGGACCGTTCTCTTTGTGAACCATGCTGCATCACTGCTCTCTGGCTCAAGAATAATTGAATAACCACCCTTGGCCATTTGTTCTTGCGCAGTCTTCAAGTGGGACAGAAACGGATTCAACAAACCAGAAGCTATTTTCTCCATCATTCCATTTGCGGATATAACCAGATCGCACCTATCAAGACGAAGGCTTAGGAGCAGAAAATATCAAAATGATGAACAGTATGGCATCTTCGAAACTTTCACAATCACATTTACGTATAATAAACAAGAAACAAAGCAGACAACAACTAACAAATAGTGCATTTTCATCAAAATCTTTCCTTGTTTAGATTCGAGTACAAATACGGCTTCTCGATCAATAAATCTGCACATTTCCACTAAATGTAGCTCCAAATGAATTTAAGACACTATAATGCACCAAGGTATGCAAACTGAACAATAACAAAGCAACTCAGAAAAGATTGAGTACCAAATAATCAAACACTTTTACACATGCAATGACATAACAAAACAGACACATAACATAAATATCCAATAAAACACCAAAAGATCCAATTCTAAAACACCAAGAATAACCATCCAAAAAATAATAAAATTCCAACTTAGACATTGCTCATAACTTCATATAACCCAATACTATACCAATTGCATAAAAAAGCCAAATCCAGCCTTTATTGTAAAAATAAAAAAAACATTGAAGACCCATTTGATTTGAAGAAAAGGATTACCTGGTCCGAGTTGGGGTGAGTTGGAACAGAGCCGAGTCCAGCCGAGTTGAAGACTTCATCTTTACAGGGAAGTGGGTTGGGGAGGATTGATCCCAGGTTTATAGAACCAATGCAGGAAAGTGGGATCAGAGACTCATTGGGAAAGTGTGGAAATGTGAAGCTAATTTGTGAGGGAAAAAATGGGCTCAGAGAAAAAAAATGAGAAAATTTCAGATTAAACCCAGAACAGAAATGGCCTGTCCCAGCTAAAAAAAAGTGAGCTTTTTAGACTGAAGACTGCAACAGGAGAGAGAAGGGAAGGGAGAGAGAAGGATCCAAAGGGTTTAGGCATGGTAGCAGATTACTGTATATATGAGATAAAGCAGGGGTAGATTAGGAAAAAAGAAAACGTTGAGCGGTGCTGAGACGAAAGGTACAACCCTTAATAGTTTTATATCATATAACAGCTGGGTGATGGGAAACAGATTTGATGGCGTAAAATTACACGAATGCCCATGCAATTTCATTGGACCGTTGAGGCATCCAGGGCCCCACTAAAGATTTATTTTTGGTGTGTAGTTGGTGTTTAATTACAACCAAAACAGTGTTTGACTTGAGGAGTAAAATTTCTTGGAGCTTACATTAGGCTCCCTGTTTGCTGTTTCCAAAAGTGGATCACATTTGTATCTTCTTGCTAATATGTTGACACATATTCTTTAACTTAACTTAAAAATTAACTCTATTAACTTTATTTATTTAACATTTAAATTTAAAAAAAAATTAAAAATAATGAAAAAACTGCTGGGTTAACAAGGTGAGCAAACCCAAATAGGATTCTTCACCTTCTATTCAATGCACAAACTTATTTGTTCAAGCTTTTTGGTAGAACTTGATGATGGCGCGTGGCTTCTTGCCGGCAGGCGGAGGAATCACAGACATGATATGAAAAGGCATATTTGAAATAGAATTCTTCACTTTCTTTTCCGTGGGTGTTGAGTTGAACAAGGATTAATGAAGACAAAAATGATTCTAGGAGTTACGGATTAATGAAGACAAGGTCGTGGGTGTAGATCGGAGCTCCAATGATTGCGCGGTTATGGAGAAGCCTTTGGTGGCGCTTGATAAAGGCACCATCTACTCGTCGTGGAACTACTCCGGCCAAAGATTAGCCAGTGGTTCCACCGACGGAACCCTCGCCATCTTTTACCCACACGACTCTTGTTCTTCGTCCTTCTCCTGCACCTCAAAATCCAAGGCGCATGAGGCTGTTGGAATTGTGAAAATTGCTTGGGTTCCACCGGAATTGTTTGGCTTTGCTCACCTCGTTAACCCAACATTTTTTTTATTATTGTGGATTTTTTTTTTTTGAATTTAAATGTTAAATAAATAAAGTTAACAGAGTTAAGTTTTAAGTTAAGTTAAAGGACATGTATCAACATATTAGCAAGGAGAAACATATGAGACACACTTTTGGGGACAGCAAACATGCAACCCTTATATTAAAGGAAAATGAATGAGATGTGTATGTATTAGGAATGCAAGTAATGACTAACAAAAAAATAATAAATCCATTGGGGGCTTTGAATTGAAGCATTGATTTATTCTTAAATATAGGAATTTTGTCACATTTACTTAGTTTTTGTTGTTGATTGTATGTTACAAAAACAATAGGAAGATATGAAGAAAAGAATAACAAATGATGAGTCAATATTATATTATATATATATATATATTGGGAAAACTTGATATAAGTTCAATTTTTTGAGCCAATAGTAGGAATAGTTTAGTTTATTAAAATAAGTCCAATTTGTTATATTTAATTATTTAATTATCAATAATTATCTGTTCAATGATAAGATTTATTATAAAAATCAAATTTCTTCCCAATTATCTCTTTACTTATTTCTTTTTATTTATCTTTTTGTTATTTCTCGTTCTTCCTCCTACTTTAAACTCCACTTATAGATTTTATTTTTAATTTTTATAATCAACCTATATCACAAGTTAATTATAATTATCTACCTATATGACAGATTCTTTTTTTTATATAATCACCCTGTCGCAAATTAATGTGTCTTACTTGTAGGTATGTTATGTTTTTTTCTACGTTTTAATTAGGTTTTATATCTCACATATAGGTATTATATACATTCATATATTTGTTACTTGAGTTCGGGTAGAATGTTTTACATATAAATTTATGTTAGTATATTAGTTTTTTTGTTATAAGATATTAAATATATTCTTTTGGAGTTGGAAAATGCATAATATTAGAAGATTTTAATTGATTTTTAATATTTTTAGAAAATATAAAATGAGTATAAAAGAAATAAAATCATATAATTAGACAACTGGACTCCCTCCTAAAAACACTCTACATTTTTGGACCTGGATCTAAAAGCCCCTTATATATTTCACCCTATTCTTAGTATAATTTGGTAATTATTTTGGTAGAATTTTGATACTTTGCTTTATATTCTTAATATAGAACATTCGACTTTCTTTGGAGCAAAACGTGACCAAACGGACGAATTTTGGAGTGATTCAAATTGAAGGTCGTTTGTGTGTTCCTTAGCTTGTTCATGTCAAAATCTCAGCAATTTCTACCAAGTGATTATTTTCTGGAGATAAATGAAGGAGCAGTGCGTGTTGCTAGAAAGTGACGTTTCTGGGTTTAAATTGCATTTTTGGAGCCTAAGATGACCTCAGATGGGTTCGTGGCCTTCTAGAGAAGTGCTTCATAATAGTCGAGGCTTTAAATCCAGCTATTTTGGGCTAGTTTTGGAGCTGATTGGGGTCCAAAACGTGGCTTGTGCAGATTTCTAGGCGAATTTACCAAGTCAATTTAGAATTATGTTTCCTAATTTATTTCAATTTATTTAGTTTCCTAGTCTTATTCTAAGACCCTTTATTAGGAGGGATTTATTTAGAGTAGTATAAATAAGCCTTTTGGCAGACCTAGGGTTTAGGGGTAGAACGCATGCAACTTTTGGGAGAACATTTGGGGCAAAGCTTAGAGATTTCAAGACTTATACTTTCAGATGTTTTCATTCTTTTTCTAGTTTAATACAATTATGTTGATTTTAATTATGAATATGCGTAACTAATCCTTTTTGCTAGGGTGAGGCCATGATCCTTAGCAAGAATATGTAGTTTCTTTTTAGTTTTCTTATGAATTTATGCATGCAAGTTTTGGATTGTTAATCACTGTGCTTTAAACTATCTATTTGTCTTAGTGATTCGCGACCATTAGGATATTTAGAAAAGTAGTTTGATGTAATTTTGGCGGAGGGCTGTCCCTGAAATTAACTAAGGCTTCTTGTGGTTAATATGTGTAACCTCTTAGGATGGATGACACGTTTTAAGGGTTGTATGGTTTTTGTGACATCCCACATCGCCCAGGAGAGTGATCCTTAAATGTTTATTCCCATCTCTACTTAACACGAGACCTTTTGGGAACTCACTAGCTTCGAGTTCCGTTGGAACTCCGAAGTTAAGCGAGAATGGGGGCTAGAGCAATTGCATGATGGGTGACCCACTGGGAAGCTGCTTATGAGTTCCCAAAAACAAAACCGTGAGGGAATGGTAAGCCCAAAGCGAACAATATCGTGCTACGGTGGTGGAGCGGGCCCGGAAAGTGATCCGCCCTGGGCCGGGATGTGACAAATTTGGTATCAGAGCTTAACCCTGGTCGTGGTGTGCCGACGAGGACGTCGGGCCCCTAAGGGGGTGGATTGTGACATCCCACATCGCCCAGGGGAGTAATCCTTAAATGTTTATTCCTATTTCTACCTAGCGCGAGGCCTTTTGGGAGCTCACTGATTTCGAGTTCCGTTGGAACTCCGAAGTTAAACGAGAAGGGGGCTAGAGCAATCTCATGATGGGTGACCCACTGGGAAGTTGCTCGTGAGTTCCCAAAAACAAAACCGTGAGGGAATGGTAAGCCCAAAATGGACAATATCGTGCTACGGTGGTGGAGCGGGCCCGGGAAGTGATCCGCCCCGGGCGGGGATGTGACAGTTTTTCAAATGGTTTTCATAAAACTTAATGAGTCTTACATGTTCACATTCGATTTGGACACCACGGACGGGTTGCATGTTAGATATACGTTCCACGTTGGAGGTTCCAAGTAGGATATACTCTAGGAAAACCTAACCTTCAAAAGATACATGTATGGTTCGTAAGTAATTTAGAAGAGCTACATAGGATTGTTAGAGTGACGGCGGAACCCTAGTACTTTCTTACTTTGAATTCTAAAAATTGTTTCCTTTATCTTTCTTTAAAGTTGGTTTTTAAGTAATCTTTTTAATTAAATTCGTTTTTCTTAATTTAGGTCATTAAATCACCTATTCCAAAAACTTTGTTCTAATTAATTAGTTGAGAATTGATTTCGCTTTGATCTTTTTAACTTAATCCTTGTAGAGAATAACCTTACTTTAGCCAATTATACTACAATAACCTTGTTTCTCTTGCAAGTATTTTAGGTGTTTTTAACCCTTTTGCACAGGTAGTAAAAATCCTATCAACCAACTTGAAACTTAATTTTACTAACATATAATATAATAAAGTTAACTTCGAAGTCAGAAGTTGTTGCTAGTCTTTAAAGTTAAAACCTCAAAAAAAGAAAATAAAAGAAAATAAAAAAGAAAATAAAAATTTATACAGTCAGGTCTTATGCAACGATCCTAACACAACATTCCTTACATGGATAGATCCATGGAATTGCATGAGTGACTACAGGAACACGTGATTCTCTTTCTGCATGGTTCCCCCTCTCCACAAATAAAAAAAAAATTGATATTCACGTTGGCCATCCAATCTCAAAATGAAGATAATCATTTCATAATATTATAGATAGTTAATCCAACTAAAAGTTTCTATCCCACATGAACATTGTGTCTCTTTCAACTTTCAATTGAGAGTGAGAGATGATGAGATTGGATAGAAACTGAACTGTAGAATAAGGCAATAGAGCAGTAAACACCCATGGCTTTGTATGATCTCGAAACTTCTTAATCATGACTAGTAGTCTAAAGGCTACAATCCCCCTCAAAGGCATGTTGCTCATCCCACCAGTTGAGGTATCCATGTACCTCAAAGCACTTCTTAGAAAAGTGATCTCCACCACAAGATGCACACTTTTAGCTTCTCTTAAAAGTATCGGCCTTGGCACTTCACATAGGCCTTGGGTAAGTAGAAACATAGGAAGCAGCCATAGAAGATCGACGGGCATGGACTTTGCAAGGTTTGGCAGCCACATCACTTACACCACCAAGCATAAAAGACTACAAGAGCATACGCTTTCAAAGCAGAAGGAACCGATTTCATAGTAAAA